GTCCAACACTATTACGATAATCCTGTTGTGTTAAGAGCCCGGATAGCGTAGTCAGTATAGCGACTGGCTGAGGGCTGGACGACCGAAAGGTCGGAATTCAAGTCTAGGTAGGTTCAAGAATTTTGTCTTCTTCACGTCGTCCAAACCGGCTTTGCGGCCAACACAGCCTCCTATCAAATGGGTACCGGGGGCTCTTTCCCTGGGAGTAAAGTGGCCGGGGCGTGAAGCTGACCACTCACCTCCAACAATCTCCGCGGTCAAGAAAATGTGGATCTATACATCCATTCCCCCATACTCCTTCATGGTGTAATGCTTAATTAGCTAAGCACAGGGACAAAGTTACGTGGAATGGAATAACATGTTCAGAACACAGTTTCATGCGAAGGTTTCGGATGGAGAAATTCAGTCGGTAGGGAAATCACAGTTACAGCGAATACAGAACAGGCGGTTTATGCTTGCAAGGTGCTCACAGCTTACACTGGAGGTATCTGTACTGAGACGAATTTACTGTTTTTGCCATGTTTATGACTGTTCTAGCAACTGCAAAGTACTATTGTTTTGCTGATTTTAACTGAATGTACAGTAGAACGCCGACTGTCCGAATTAATCTGTGACAAATGTGCTTCTGATAATTGATTTAAATTCTTATCAACGAAAAAACACTATTAGAACACAACTGTACTGTATTATCATATTAATAAAAACAAACAACTTTTAAAATAAGTGAAACGTGAAAACTTAATAAAAATACACTTGTCTCCGTGTTTAATTAATTAAGCATTACTCCATAAAACATCCCATTCAACAGGTACAAGGTGCTCCTTCCCCGTGGGTGGTACGGCCGAAGCGTGAAGTTGACTAATCACCTCCATCCAGTGCCGAAGTTAATAATGACGAAAGAATTAATAAATAAAAATGAACATTTTCAAATATTAATTTGAGTAAGTCTAACAGTGATGTTCGTTTAGAAGACGAAATTCGTTTCCCAGACAATTCTCGCAAGCATTTCAGCGTAATATCACGTGTGTGAGTGACTATTCGACGGGATTTGGATTGGATATCGTATTGATGAGGTGTTCCTGTAACAGGCCGTGAATGCCCACAGGTGTGTGAGAGGTCGAGGCTCCTACATCTTCTAGTCAGTCGGCTCTTTGATGGTCACTCTTTTACCCCCCCCCCCCAGGAAGATTCCTGGTACTCATTTCTGTTACAGGCTGAGTGGACCCCAGGGCCATAGTGCGGCTGGAAGAATTAGGTCAATTGAAAAATATCGGATTTATTGACCACTTGTATACTCAACTCGTAACTACGAGTAATGCAGAGCTATTGTTGATCTACACACTTTACACTTCACCTTACACACACTATGGTTCTCAATTATCAGTAGTCGTATCCTGGCAACGGATTTCAAAACAGTAATTATATCAGTCTCACTGTAACTGCAACACATATGGAGTCTTCCAATCACAGCCTAATTCCTCTCTTACCGTTTCTTGTCAATCTTCTTGCCTGTCTTCTCAAGAGATTCCCTCAATTCTAATTCAGTAAGGCAAAGTCAAAGTTACTTTAAGATTGACGGTTTACCGCCAATCAGTTGGTCCTGGCATCAAGCACCTTGAGACCCACGACCAGAATTTTGTTTTCAACTGAAATCTTACGTTAATAGTCTTCGTTGCCTAAGAAACGTGTTCACCCAGCCGTTGCCTAGAAATTGACGTCTATTGATTCGTCTATTTCATAGTAACGGCTGTACTCATTACTGTAAGAAGCTGTGCGGCACTGCATTCACCTTGATTTCCTTGATAGCGGTGATTCTGTTAATTGGCAGTTGGGATAATCATCATTTTACTGTGTGTTTTGACCACTGTGAGTATAGCAGTGACAAGTGAAGTAGAATTGTGATTAAGCAAAACACCACAAAGACGTGTAGGGCCGTGAAGGTAAGTCTCCATTCATTCCTAACTTAGGTGAATGATGAGCTGCAAGATGTGGCAGCTTTACAGAGGGGGACGAGTCTCAGGTATAATGTTGATAAAAAGTTACTTGCTCGTGAGTCGGCGTGGCCCGGAGGGGATAGAGAAAACTCTCGTCCTAAGTAAATGGAACCCGGTGATCATGTCAGTAGCCAATATTTTATTGACAGGCCCACCACAGCTCGGGGCAACGAAAGACATGTGCTTAATACAGATTACATATGTGACAAGCCTTGAAGTTATTGGTTCGGTTGCTCTATCGAATTCTGTTTGAATAAAACATCAGTTACTGACATTTAGTTCAGCGACCATTTCTTCTGGCCGGAACTTCTGACGTCAATATATGTGCTTCTGCGCGGTCCGCCTTCAATTAGACTATTTTTATGACTAGTACCTATAAATTTCTATAGACATAGGCGTCTTTTATCTGCCTGTAAATCAGGTGATACTGACACACATAGTCTGTTGATCTGTAATGGCGCCAAACACTCTTATTTGATTTCAGAGTTATTTCACAAATTCCAACGGATAGCTGTCTGCCCTACGTTTGGATTCCGATATCAGCTCTTTTGTTTCACTGCTGAATCTGCTCATTTTGAAGCCATTTGTACAAATATTATGATTCTGGAGATTATACATTGTCCTGTCTTTACTTAAAAACACCATCCTCTTTATATTGCAAAACAACGTTTTTGAGTCTGGATTCTGTTTCCGTCTTCAGGTAAAACCTACTACTCATTTTGGTCCAATCGATAAACTTTGGGTGGGCCGTGCCATAGCTCAAGCGGTTAGTCGCTGGCTTTCCATCTCGGCGGCCAGGGTTCGATCCCGGGTCTGGTCAGGTGGGATTTGTGGTGAATAAAGTGGCGCTGGGGCGGGTTTTCTCCGAGTACTTCGGTTTCCCCTGCCGATCTTCATTCCACCAAATTTTCCATCAGCATAATCACCCGGAGCAGGTACAATAGGCCAATCAGTGGCCGCCGTACCGAGTGGACCCAGATGGACTTCACCCCCCACTAAGGGAATTTAGAAAAAAAAATAAAATAAAAAACTGTGGGTGGCCTGTACGGCTTGCGGTTTAACAGGAGTCTTTATTTATAAATCTGATTGGACCTTGGCTGTTTTTTCAATTTCTTGATCCTACACGAAGTCGGTATGCCTCCTTGGACGGGGATCAGCCCGTCGCAAGGCCGCTACATACACACAGAACAACACTAACACGGAATAAATGCACACAGACATCCATTCTTTGACTGGGATTTGAACCCACGACCCCAGTGTTCGAGCGGGCGAAGACAGTTCATGCCTTAGACCGCGCGACCACTGTCATCGGCGGACAAGTTACTCACTTATTGCTTTTCATGATTGTACGGGAAAATCCATTTCCCATTCACCCCTGACAATCAGGAGTGGCTGGGAGATTCGAATTCATTCTCTGAAATCTGGATCCTGTCATTTGGCAGCAACACATTGACTTGGCCGTCAGGGTAGATATATTTCCCCAGCCCGAACTTCTGAACCTGCTGCCCAGAATGCTGGCTATTTTAAGGACAACAAGATTGTTCAACTAAACTGCGTAATTTTAACGAATGTTGTCGTAATTCAAAAGCATGCATGTCAACCCCAATCTGATTCAAGCTTGAGGTACAGCATAGCTGACTAGGAGAACCTGATTTCATCACGTAAGTTAAGTTGCTCCTGTTGCTAAGTATCACATATTGAGTTTTAATATTCTTATGTCATTTCCAAATTTGAAAAAAGTCGATACTTAAGAAAAATTAAATCTAAATGCCTACTCTGGTATAAGATTTACACTAACACTGCTGTTCAGTCATTCGCGATGACACCATGAAGTATAAGAAGTGAAATTAATTTATTTTTAGTATCGTTAAATTTATGACGTCCCTGACTTACATCATGTGTAGATTATCTCTGCAAAATTGAGCTCAACTCCTCTATATTTTATTCAAAACTTGATCAAGTTCATAACGTTTTTAATCTTGGGCAAATAACGTATTGTTGCGTAATGAATTTAACTTTCATTATCCTTTAAGGAGGGGGGCACGCGGTAGCGTAGTTGGTTGAGGCACTATGCTACAAACCGGAAGGTCGCGGGTTCAGCCCCGATGAGGTCATTGGATTTTTTTTTAATCGACCTAATCCTTCCGGCCGCACTATGGCCCTGGGGTCGACCCAGCCTCTAACAGAAATGAGTACAAGGAATATTCTTGGAATATTCTTGGGGGTAAAGGGCGGCCGGCGTGTAGGACTGACAACCTTGCCGCCATCTATGAGCCGATTGTCTAGAAAATGTGGGAACCTCAACATCTCAGAACCCTATGGGCCTCCACGGCCTGTTACAAGGATACTTTTACTTTTTTTTTATCGTTTAAAGAGCTTTAAATTACCAACATCGGTTACTATTTTTAAATATACAACGATATGTTTTCTTCGACAACAGAAAGACGCGGCTATTCGCAAGACCTGCAAGTCCGAAATTAGTTCGGCAAAGTCTATATGCCTTTCTTTGTACGATTAGTTGTTTCTGAGAAAAGCAATAAAGTTAGATTAAAATTTAATGCGAAGTGAGGTTCACAGGTACTTTCCGCATGCAAAACATTTTTTACTCCTTTAAAAAGCACCCCAATAAATGACCTAGAGCTCTAATGCCAAATTTAATCAAAATCGGTTCAATAATTTCAGGGACTAACAGAGAGACGACGAAAGGAGTGATGTATACTCTTCACGTACAGAAAGCACCTGGAAAATACGGGTACTTTTCCACTCAACTGAACCAGCTGTGTATTTCCTGTATCCGTCTACCCGCAATGCTAGCCGAACCCTAAGCTGTCCCATTGAGTCAAACCCGTTACACGAAGAAACTTGCATGCTGAGGGCATCTAAACTTGGCGCGAGCGTGTGCGTTCTTTCAAATATTTACCGCTCTGGAATAGCTCTCAAGTTAACTAGCCTATAGTCTGAAGGCCAGCAGCCTATTATCATTCGCGCTTAGTTGCCAGTAGACATTCCACTGACGGAGTCGTTAGAGGGAAGTTGTGGTGACGCTGTGTGGTGTGTAGTGAGCGGGAAACTTTGCGTGGTGTTGCTGTGGAGTTTTATTTGTGTTAACAGGAAGTGAGGATGGATTGACCTTGTCATATACTAGGTAATTACAATGTCTACTGAACAGTTACATTCCATAAGACAATTACTCAGTCACCGGTGTGAGGACCCCAGATCATAGAAACTTGTGTAGTGCTTTGGCGTTCTGTACACCGTGTTCATTCTAAAACTAGTTGAGCTAATTCTGTATGAGGAAAATTAAGACAAGCGGAATATGTTCATGATTCGTTACCAAATGCGGAACAAAATCATTACATAAAATATAGATAATAAATTGTCGAAAATGTAGCAAAGTTCAGTTATTTGAGAGAAAAGTAACATATCAAAATTACGTTCACGAAGAAGTGAGATAAGATTTTTTATTAAATGCTCGCTACTATTCTGTTTGAAACCTTCCTCTGCCAGTATCCTGTCAAAAAAACCTTTGGATTCAACACGAGTGTATAACTGAATGTGTTTATGAGTGCGAAATTTTGTCTGTTACCCAAAGAGAAGAACATGGTTTCAGTGTCTCTGATAGCAAATGTGATAAGAATATTTGGAACTAGGGGACTTAGACACTCAGGAACGCAAAATACGCTTGTACCCTTCACTAGATATTAAGGTGGTATAATCATAGAGAACGAAATTGGCTGGATATATAACACGCATTTGAGAGCTGAGAAATGCAAACAAAATTTTAGTCTGAAGAGACCAGTCACGAGACCCAGACATACAGGTGTGGATAATATTAAAATAATGAATATAGAGGAGGTAAGGTTGTTGACTGGATTCACGTGAAGCTGGATGGGGTCTAATGGCGAGCTCCTTGTCAGCATTAATGCTTTACAATCAGGGAATTTCTGGACTGGTTGAGGAACTACCAGCTTTTAAAAATTACTCTGGCCCTCTGAATTGTTTATTTACTTTCCGTACGAAAAGCTACGGTGAGCCTCCCTGTACACAAGCAGAGAAAAACGAACACACACAAACTAAACATCCATGCCCTGAGTGGGATTCGAACCCACGATCCCGGTTTCCAAGCGAGCGAAGACAGTACATGCCAGGGACAACTTTACCTGTTACTTTTACCGTACGAAAGTAACGATGTTTGCTTCGCCCCGAGTTTCGGAACTGTTTTGACACGCAAGAGTCCGGTGTCGGTGGAATCTGCTTCATTGACGCAAATGAAGCGAGGAAGCGATTTAAATTCAACTGATTTGTACGTGCCTGTTAATTAGTAAAAAGAATACGTGCAAGGAATGCTTTAACACGTCATTCAACAACGTGCATGAAATGAACGCGCAGTAGGAACAGTGAGTTTAATTGACGCAAGTAAAGAGGTTGGTCTAGAAGTAAATACCGTGAAAACTAAGTATATGTTGCTGTCTCATCACCAAAATGCAGGGCAAAATCATGACATAAAGATAGGAAACAGATGTTCTGAAAATGTGGCACAGTTCAGATATTTGGGAACAACGATGATACATCAAAACCTGATTCAGGAGGAAATTAAGAGGAGATTGAACTCGGGTAATGCTTGCTACCATTCAGTCGAGAACCTTTTATCTTCTCGTCTGCTGTCCAACATAAAAATTAGAATATACAAAACTATAATTTTGCCTGTGGTTCTGTATGGGTGTGAAACTTGGTCTCTGACATTAAGGGAGGAACATTGACTGAGGTGTTGGAGAACAGGGTGTTGAGAATATTTGGACCGAAGAGAGATGAAGTGACAGGAGGTTGGAGAAGACTGCATAATGATGATCTTCATAACTTGTATACTCTTCTCCAAGTATAATTCGAATGATCAAGTCAAGGAGGATGAGGTGGGCAGGTCATGTAGCACGAATGGGAGAGACGAGGAATGCGTATAGAATATTGGTGGGAAAGCCAGAAGGAAAGAGACCACAGGGAAGACCAAGGCGTAAGTGGGTGGACAATGTTAGAATGGATCTTAGAGAGATAGGATGGGATGGTATGGATTGAATAGATCTGGCTCAGGATATGGACCAGTGGAGGGCTCTTGTGAACACGGTAATGAACCTTCGGGTTCCATAAAATACTGGGAAATTCTTGAGTAGCTATAGAATTTGTGGCTCAAGAAAGGCTCAGCTCCATGAGTAAGTAAGTAAGTAAGTAAGTAGGAACAGTGAGTGTGTCACCGTCATTTCACATGTTTCGTCTTTGAAACTATGTAGTTTTAGCCCTTTAAAGCCCAGTGGTTACTACATATATGTACAACCTGCTTTAACATACTAAAACTCTGCATTCTGCACACAGTCTGTTTATGTTTCTTATGGTTCTCACGATAAACAGCGATTGGTTCCCTAAACAGCTTTAACCGGTTGGTCTTTGTAGCGGAGACAGTGTGTTTCCTGTGAGGTACGAATTTAATTTTTATATAGTGTTTCGAAGAAATTATGTGTATATATATATATATATATATATATATATACAGTATACGTGTATATACGTAGTGTGTGTATATATACATATATATAGTATATCCAGTAGACCCTCGATATAAACCTGTTGTCCAGGACAGCATTAATACCCACGTTATTAAGTGAAATAAATATTTATCCAATTTTATACATAGTTCCGGTTATTATTTGAAATATACAGTATTTGTGCGGCGACTACAATACGTGCATGAAATTTAAGGTACGTTTGAGACTTGCGCCGGTCACGGTAGCCGAGGCATGACCTGTCTTCGCTCGCTCGGAAGCAGGGATCGTGGGTTCGAATCCCACACAAGGCATGAATGTTTGGTATGTGTATGTGTTTATTCTGTGCTTGTATTGTCCTGTGTTTATTAGAGGCCTTGCGACGAGCTGATCACTCGTCCAAGTAGGCCTACCGTTTGAAAAATGATCAAAATAGAAAAAAAAAACTCGGTACCGTAAAGGTACAAGAGGAACGGATTAAGTAAGTATGTACACGTACCTTTGAGACTTTGGCCGAGCACGTAAAAGGGGTTCTTAATAAAAGTAGCTGTTTGAATAACATAATCCCAAGGTTAGAGAAACCAGTAGCACAGCCTATTGAAAGCGGACTATGGACTTTATACCCTTCGTGCCTGCACGTTATAAAAAAGGACTGCTGCAATACAGTCTTATACTGCAACTAAAACATTTGATGATAATGTGTACGACAGAGGACACACGTACTCGTGTTTGGGCGGTACATCCGATCCATTATAACGCGGGCCCGCTGTGTGTATAATATAACAGAGAAAGTAGTAACACAGTACATTCTTTTCTTTTTTCTTTTTTTTTTCTGTGACGCCACAGCCCCAATTTTGGCCTAGGCCTACCTCCAGGAAACTCCGTTTCACTTCGGTTTACTAGATCTCTTACACATTCGGTAGGACTCCTTGGGCGAGTGATCAGCTCGTCGCAAGGCCTCTACCTGTAGACAAACACAGAAAAACGCACACAAACATCCATGCCCTGAGTGGGATTGCAACCCACGATCCCGGCTTCCGAGAGAGCAAAGACAGTGCATGCCTTAGACCGCTCGGCTACCGTGACCGGCAACACACCAATTTACTTTCGGGAGCTATCAACCACCATTGCGATCATAGTGGCATGAACTTCTTTCGCCCGCTCGAACGCAGGGATCGTGGGTTCAAATCCCACTCGAATGGATGTCTGTGTACGTTTATTCTGTGTTTATGTTGTTCTGTGTGTAGGAAGTGGCCTTGCGACGGGCTGCTCCCCCGTCCAAGCAAGCCTACCGACTGTGTGTAGGAAGAAGAAATTGAAAAAGCGGCCAAGACCCAACAAATGGCTGTAGNGTCTGAGTCTGAGTCTCATTTTATGACCGACGGTCAGTCGGCCAGTCTGTCTTGGCATAAAGCACCCATCTGGGGCTTGCCGGAGATACGCTCTTATACATCGAGCGTTCGGACGGAATAGGGAATACCTTAACGAAGGGTTAATTTCATCCGTTGCTTAGGAAATGCTCGCCTTACTCAATACAGAACACCTTGTAGAAGTGTTTCATCCGTTGTTACGGATATTGCTAGGCAACGGTCTCTTGGTATTCAATTCGTCGCTGTGGGAACTCAACAGTTTCCATGTATTCGTTGTCGCTGAAGTATTCGTTCCCATTGCAGCCGTTGCGCAGCAATGGACGTAATATAACACGTCACAATAACAACAACAATAATGAGAATAATAATGTTTCAATTCATGTTTATTTGCGTGCAAACTTAGCAGCACAGAGGCCAATTACAAAATTAGTACGAGTACATAGAAATACGCAAAAATAATTAAAAAACAAAATACAAAATATGACAGTCTGCATAATGGCAGTAAATTAATAATAATTCCAAGAAAAATTAAAGTTANATAATAATAATAATAATAATAATAATAATAAACCGTCATTAACAATAAGTAATTCTAACCAACTCCATAGAACAGTTATGTGCATCATTATTGTAGTTTATTTCCGGGATGTATGTTTAAGAGACATAAACTTTTATAATAGGTTATGTCTCTTTGCAATTGGTTATGCATAATTATGCATAACCAATTGCAAATGTTGTGTATATCAGACCAATTTCATCACACAGGGAAGCTTATCTCATTTCATGTGGAACTTCATCAGTCAGCATTCATCCAATGCGTATTCACTTCTGAACACAACTTGTATTAGAGGGCTCTAAACAACCTACATACATGAACAGTTACAACATGTTACTCCGTGATTTCAGTCCGCAAGCGAACTCCGCTTGTCGGCGCAGTTAGTGCCAGCTTTTGCGAATAGAATCCCCACGGCAATTAATTTCGGTTCTCTATTTCCTTGAAATAGCTCCTCAATTATCATCACGAGGCTGAGTGGACCCCTTTCCGAAAAAAATCCGGGAATCGAACACGGACCTCTGGATCTGTAGCCAGGAACGCTGACCACTAGACCACAGAGGCGGTCAATTAAAACATGTGGAAATTTAAATTTTAATTCCGTTAGTTCAGTGGGTATTGCGACGGGCTGCGGGCTGGACGACCAGGGTTAGTTTCTGGTAGACTAGACTTTCTTCTCCATTTCACACCGTCCAGACCGGCTCTGGGTTCCACACAGTGCGCACGGGTGACAGTTTCCCCGGAAGAGACGTGCGTGAAGCTGACCACTCAGCTGTACTTCCAATCCCCCATTACGTCTTCTCGGAGTGGTGCTTAATTAGTTAATTAATTAAGCGCAGAGAGAATTTTGCCGTAATAAAGTGCTGGAATTACTGACAAACACGTGTAAACAGCTACTCATTACCTTTAGCAGTAAACAGAGTAGGAGTAGTGCTGATGAAGCTGTATACACTTTAACCTCTGCGCTAGATAGAGGTGAGTGGACTGCTTTACGCTCCAGCCAAATTTACCTCCGGAGGAAATGCCCCTGACACCAGCTAAATATATGGCTGGGTGGGCCCCACAGTTGGCGGAAAGAGAAAATCGGTACCCTTCGGCAATAAATGAGCTGAGGCAAAGTAAATGAATTTTTATCACTCCGTGTAACTGTGTAATTTGTCACGTACTAGTGATTAGTCACTTGGTTTGGATTGATTATCGAGTTTATTGATAATAATTATAACACTACTACAAATTTACACACTACACCTTCTCAGTTTGTTATGTCTTCATGTTCCCTGGTAACGGTTCGTAACAGTGGAGATTCCTCTACTTGTGTGCCCCGAATGAAACTGTCGACTCCCGTCTCACTACTGATAGATTTTCTTTTCATATCTGGTACATTGCTGCTGGTCCACGCTAGCACAGTTACTCTTCATTTTGGGACCCATAAGCTATATTTTTCTGCCACGCTGACTTGGACTCACACAATTTGCTACCGGCTCTGACAACATAGAAAACATCGCGCGCGTATGTATACGTTGCTGCGGTAACATGTTTACCGAGCCGTTGCCTGTCAAGGATATCTCTTCTGTTTGCACTGTTCGGCTTTTAATTATGTCACAATAGATTTTAACGTCTGTTCATTACAGGTTACGCTTCGAAAAGACGTAATAACGCAGGAGTAAAAGCGAAGAAACTTATTCAACTTGTGTAGAGAAAGGTCATTGAGCGAAACGATGGATCTGGATAAGATGATGGATGAAGTAGGCCACTTCGGGAAATTTCAAGCCTTGTGTTACTTCATCCTGAGTTTCTCCATATTCTACTCAGCAGTTGCTGGTCTGAGTTACGCCTTCACAACAGCAAATGTAAATTACAGGTAAGTTCACAAGCTCTTTTTGTATTTTAACGGCTCTTCTTTACTGCAGGGTGCGAGGACTTCTCAGTCTATAGTCTAGTCACTAGGCTATAAGCTGAACGATCGAGGAATTTGGTCTGACTTTAAGAGTTTTCCTCCCATGGCAAGACCAAGTCTCGTAACCCCCCTTCTGAAGAGGTAAAGTGGTCAGGGCGTGAATCTTCCCATCCACTTCCGTCAAGTGCCAAGGATAATGATCCGTTGAGCTATACGATGTACTTTCACCCCCATTACGTGCTTAATTAAGTACAGGGGCAACTTTAAACTTTAACAGCTTTAAAACACGAGAAAATCCTTGATAGGTAGTACTTTGCGTGCTAAACGCTGTAAACTTACCTGTGACCAAGTGGGACATATTTATGGCAGCTTCAGTAATGCTGACGATCTTCCACAGCCTCTGAAATATTGCCAACTTTACCCAAGATCCCACGACGTAACAAACCGTGGGCAGAATTAACATAAAAAACAGTCTTGAAGTTAAAAATTCGTTTACAGGGCATGTGTTAAGCTGTGGCATATAGTATACTAACTTAAATGGGATTTTAAAATTTTTGTTTTGGTATCGTCATAACTATATCTCTGTGTTCTTCTCTCGTGTTGCGATAGCTCAGTCGGTATAGCGGCGGGCTACGGGCTAGAGAAACATTTTTCCCTTCTCCACAGCGCCCAGACCGGCACTAGGGTCCACGCAGCCTCCTATCCAATGGCACCGGGGGGGGTTCTCCGGAGGTAAAGTGGATGGGGCAGCTGACCACTCAACTCCATCTTGTGCTGACAACAACAATGGTGGAGTTATACCTCCGCTCCTCCCTATGTATTGTACAGATTTGATTAGAACATTGCCAGGCAACGGCTCAGTAAACACTTCCCAACATGCAACAATATAGGGGAAATTGTTTTCTATGTGGTCTGCGCCAAGCAACAGTAGAACTACGGGGTTATGCAGTCCGTTTCTATGCAACGGCTCGGTAAACATATTTTCTCCTATCGGGCCGTGCATTGCAACGCGGTGACGTCATCAGCAATAGAGACGGTGTTTTCCCGTGGAGTCTGTGCAAAGTGCTCATAAGAGAATTGAATTCAGAAGCGAGTTAGTTCAGGGTGGTTGCCAGTCAGTTCTCGGTAGGAAATGGCCACGGGAAGTTCGTAGATGAAGAAGAATTAGAAGTCGACCTGTCAGCACTTAACGCGTGTTGTAGTGCAGATATATCTAAAGTGTAACAGTTATAGTTCCTGTGTTAAAGTCCGTTGCCAGGAAACGGATAGGGCGAACTTTGCAGAGGAATAGCTACGTATTATTGAGATGTGTTACCTAGCAACGACTAGCGTAATCAGACGCAGAAGACTATTTTATGTGATATAATTGGAGTAATCTTGAAAGTGTTGTAATTAATTGTAGTGAATATCCAGTAAATCGACTTACCCATCCAGACCCCGTCTACTAGTCACTAATACATGCGACAGTATTTATGGCATAATGCTTAATTAATTAAGCACAGGATAACGTTACCGTAATATTACATTTTTAATCACTTCGGCGGTTTCTATTCATTTTTTGGTACGGACGGTATACCATAAACAGCCCGTCATCCTGATGAGCTGTTGTGATCAATATTTACGTCCGAATATCTTGGTCGACTGACTAAGCCCCCACTTCGTGTTCAGGGGTTCCTGGGTTCGATTACTGGTCAGGAAGCCGGATATGCTGACAGTTTCTATGGTATTCCCAACAGACAGGTACTAAGATAACATCATAAAGCAGACATGTTTCCCAGTTATCATTCACACTCATCGTCCAATCGGCGCCCTGCAACCTCTGTTGCTCAGAAGCGTCAATGAATACACTGTTAGCGTCTTTAGTGGGATCCGGGGTAGGTGCCAGTATAGCGACGGGCTGGACGAGCGGAGTTCGATTCCCGACAGGCAAGATATCTCTATTCCACTGCGTTCAGACCGGCTCTGGGGCCCACCCAACCTCGTATACATTGGGTACTGGGGGCGCTTTCTCCGGGAGTAAAGCGGCCAGGGTCGAAGCTGACCACTGACCTTCATCTAGTGCCTATACTTCCCCTCTCGAACACGTCTTTGTGGTGTGGTGCTTAATCAGTTAAGCGCAGGGCCAACTGTGCCTTTACCTTAGTACGTTTATTGTGTTTAATGTATAAATGATTTGAATTTTAGCGCTGTAATCATTCTAAATGTTTTCCTGTTTTGTGTGGCAAGTTCTGTTTCCGTACTTCGCACGTCCTACAGTGCCCTTGTGTATAAGTTCGTATATATACAGCTTTATTTATAGGCGTCTTCGAAACTCAGTTGATTGCCCATAAAATCGCTTAGGCTTCCTGTGTGCGTGACGCAACTGCAGAACCGCTTAAGGGATCTTTATGAAACTTGGTGCTGGAGAATTTGACGAGGAATTGTCGAGCCATGTCAATTTTCATTTTGACTGGACAATTTCAACGACCACTTTACATGTGCTAGACCTGTGTGCGTTCCTGCGTGTATCTGTAGCGCAACCCGCTACACATTTGTCGGAGCAAAGAATATTTAGAATGAAAGTTGTATCGTAAAACGAAACACTTTATATCCGATACAGTATTTCCGAAGGTCTTGCAGTTTTCGAGATAATTTAACCAAAAATACATTATTCAACAACGAGGAAAGCCTCTTGAAGACGCCCAAAACAATACCAAAGTCTCCTATTCTCAACAGTACTCAAAGGAAGCTTTCCCTCCTGTGATTGTACAGAACAGCTTCAGGTAAAATTTATGGTTATTTATTACAAGGAAGGAGTTCTCTTTAGTCTCCATTATTCCTTTTATTTAAAATAATGTGAAAGTAAAGCTATCCTCGCTGTAACAGGCCGTGAAGGCCCATAGGTTTGTGATGCGTCGAGGCTGCCACATTTTCTAGACCAGTAGTTCTCAGTCTTCTTCAGACCGCGGCCCGGTAAAGACGAGGGCCCGGTATAATTGATGCCAGGGCCCGGCGGCTGAGAAATACTGTTCTAGACAATCGGCTCACAGATGACGGTGAGGTTGTCAGCCTTACGCGCCCGCCGCCCTTTACCCTAAGGAAGATTCTTGATACTCATTTCTGTTAGAGGCTGAGTCGACCCCAGGAGCCATAGAGCAGCTGGAAGGATCAGGTCAATTGAAAAAATCCAATCACCTCATCGGGATTCGAACCCGCGATCTTCCGGCTTGTAGCATAGTGCCTCAACCAATAATGCTACCTTGTGTCCATCTAAAATAAGACACTTCGCAATTACAGGACGTCTCTTTCATTTCTCACATAACTACATTTTCTTATAAATAATTGAAATACCATGGATGGATGTTAGCATATCATAATTCCTAAAGGCGGGTGTTAAGTATGCTCTGTGTACTTCTACAGTCTTGTTTCTGTATGGGAATACGTTATTTAATAAAGTACAAGGAACTATATTTTCGGATTATACATTGTGTTGTGTTTAGTTTCATTAGAACTCTTGGTATCTTAAGCAATGTGTTTGTATGTGCAGTACACTTGCATCAAGGCTAGTGAATCTTGTAAAATAACAAAGAAAGCAATTGGTAAATATGTATATTCCTCGCGGCTTACTCAAACCTAACCGCATCTTAATTGCGCTGAAGTAATTTCAGCATAATTTTCAGACTTAAAGGCTGGAAACTGAAGGTTGTATTTTGAATTTAATTTGATATTTTTGTTCTGGCTACTAGATTGCTAGAGAGGAAATGTCGCAAGGCCCTATTCTAGGAAATGTTTAAACGTGTGTTTGAAGAAAGTACTGATAAACAGAGGGCGTCTAAATTACTTCATTAGTTCGTTATTTATTTTTGACTAAAACTTTTAGTCCTTATCTCTGTTACTGTAATCAACAGAATACAGTGCACCTTCAATCGATTTTCTGTACGTCGAAAATACTGGACTCTTTTATTATTAGCATAATATTACTTATTTCAACGACACTTGTTGACACACTTCTAACACTTCTCAAGGCCTTGTTTTTGCATAACCTTTGAAATATTCATGAAGAAATACCCAAGTAGGCCTACCTTTATTGTACAAGGTAGTAAGTTATCTGAAACGTAACTTTCAATGTGTGGACTTGAAACCAACGCACTTCAGTCATGTTCCAAGTGTCATTTCTCCATTTCATTCACACTTTAATGTAAAACTAAAAGAGTTTCCCAAGGTCCTGAAGGTTCCAGTGTGGACACCTCTTGGAAGACGAGAGGAGTTGGAAGGATATTAGTTTGGGTCTTAAGTACATAAGTTGTGAGGGTGTAGACGGTCAGTCCTTTCCATCTTTGTTTCTAACTGAAAAACTACTTACAGGACACTCACCTCAAAGGACACCTGTTCAAACTGGGACTAACTGATAGTCCCACTTGTAAGAGGTGTCAAGAAGAAAATGAAACAGCCACACATATCCTGTGTGAATGTGAGGCCTTAGCTTATTTAAGATTACGTCACGTGGGTCAATACTTTATAGAACCAAGTGACTATTTCGACGCCCCACTACAAAATCCTACGCTTCATTTGAGGCGCAGGATTTCTGAGGGGGTAATCAAAAGGGGAAGCACAATAGATCAAGATCACTGTAGGTCGCGGTGCAAGGGCCGAGAAGGCCCACCCCTTATACATTCATTCATATAACTGAAAATCTAGTTCCCTTACTTGCAGTTGAATTTATCAGTGTCGCTGAAATGTTGAATGGTGCAGACTTCGTGCCGAAAACTGCAGATTTTTGTGGTGTACTTCGGGAATATAATGGGACACGCTGTAGCGTGGTTGGTTAAGGTACTATGCTACAAGCCGGAAGGTCGCGAGTTCGATTCCTATTGAGGTTCTTGGATTTTTCAATTGATCTAATCCTTCCAGCCGCACTGTGGTTCTGGGATCGACTCAGCCTCTAACAGAAGTGAGTACCAAGAACCTTCTTGGGGGTAACGGGC